TTTTGTCCTTACTGGTCTGATCCTCTGCAGGTGGATTGCTCAGGCTATGAACTAGAGCACTTACATACCAAAGTCACTTCATTGTGCAGCCGGATAGAGCAGATTCCGTGTTACAGTGCCAAGGACCGCCTGGCTCAGTCAGGTAAGCTGTGGGCCCTGCTTTCATGTGACTTACTTCCTGTCTTTATGACAGCCTCACCAGTGCTGTGTGGTCAGCACTCATTGTGTTTTTCTCTCTAGATATGGCCAAGCGTGTCGCCAACTTGCTGCGGGTAGTACTGAGCCTGCAGCATGCTCCTGATGCCACCTCCAACTCAACACCAGACCCTCAGCGAGTTCCTTTGCGTCTGTTGGCTCCCCACATTGGCAGACTTCCCATGCCTGAGGACTATGCCTTGGAGGAACTTCGTGGTCTCACACAGTCCTACCTGCGAGAACTGACTGTTGGGAGCCAGTGAGCCCAGCTCTTCGTCACACTCATGCGCACTCCCTCCCTCCCCAGGGGTTCCCAGCACTGTTCTATCTGACATTGTTTGCCAATCTCTGGGTAGGTGTGGACTCCTCCCTCCCTTTCTGCTGCCCTAAGCAGCAGCATCCATTAGTTGTTCAGGGGTTCTCCTAACTAATACTGAGCATAACATACAAGGGCTTTTGGAACCAAAAAAAAAAAAAAAAAAAAAAGACAGGTCAGATCTCTTTACCAACTTCAAGACCATTCTTCAATTTCTTTTGAAAAATGGTCAATAAAGCCTCTTTGGCAGAACCTCCCAAAAAACTGGGTTACCCAGAGTTCTGAGTCTTGTGACACACACACCCCATGCCAACGTCTGTCCTACATCGCTGCACCTCTTCTGTTTGAAGGCACTGAGACAGGTCTCAGACATATGTCTGGTAGATGACTCATTTGTCCCTGAAGAGTTCTTAACACTGGGATTGGGACCTTGTTGAAGACAGAAGGGCATGGAAGCAGAGCTCTGCCAGGCTCCTTTTTTCATCCCTCGTCTGTCCTGTGAACACCACACCTGCCCTACTGTCCTGTGCAGTGTGTTTCTGTGAAGCCCCTGATTGCTCTGGCCCTTGATTTATCAGTCATCTTCCTGGGTGTGCCAGGAGTTTGGATGAAGAATGTGAAAGGTGTTCCTCCCAGCCCTCCCATCTAGCCAAGAGCATTTCCCACCCTTCATCCACCTTCCCAGAAGGCACAGCTGTCACTAAGACAGGCCTGGCTGGGCCCTAGGCACCTACACTGCATTGCTGCTGGCTGTGGAGAGTCCCAGGCTCTGGCCTGAGACAGGTGACACTTGGGGCAGTCACACACAATATGACCACCCCTGGGTCTTTGTGCATGAAGATTATGTAAAGGTTTTTATTAAAATTATATATATATATAAATGATCTAGATTATTTTCCTCTTTCTGAAGCTACTTTCTTAAAAAATAAAATGTTTATAGTATTCTTGATGGTACTGACTTTTTCTTTGTGTTTTGGGGGACTCATTTAAATAAAAACATTGTAAGTTAAAGAGAGAACAGATGGCTAAGGAGTTGTTAGTTCAGCAGGTCAAAGCACTAGCCATGGGCTGGAGAGATGGCTCAGCAGTTAAGAGCACTGACGGCTCTTCTAAAGGATCCAGGCTCAAGCCTCAGCACCCACATAGCAGCTCACAGCTGTCTGTAACTCCAGTTCCAGGGAACCCGATACCTTCACACAAACATACATAAAGGCAAATCACCAATGCACACAAATAAATAAACATAAAACACTAGCCACACAAGCCTGGCAACACAAGTTCAGAATCCATGAAATGCAGATGCATCTGCACACATGTGTAACCCAAGCACTGTTGGTGCCTGCTTGTATGCGCGCTCTGTGCCTCACAACACTTTAAAAACAGCTTTCACAGTACCCCGTGGACTAATCACCAGCCTGGAAAGAGCAGCACAGCCGTAGGCACTAAGACCTGCCTCACAGGAAGGCAGCAGCCAACTCGGGCACACCATTAGTTAGCGCTGAATTGAGACTCAGGAGCCCAGACACTTTTTCCTTGCAGTGGTAGGAATTGAACCCAGGGTCTTTGCATGTTGAGCTGCATCTCAGCCCAAAGACAGACTTAGGGACAAGGAAGTTACTGATTAGTAAATACAAGTTTATGTACATAGGTTCTGAGTTTAAACTGCATCACTGAATATATTTTGTATTCAAAGCTTTCTGCTCTGTTCTGGAGATTGTTTTTAAGCAGTAATGATTCCTGAACTGGTTGCTTTACAGTGGCCTGTTTTGAGTATCAAATGAGAATTCAAGTCTATTCATGTCTTGTTGAACTGAGGCCTGAGCAAATTCCAGGTAGATTTAACCAAAGACTTGTGCAACATCACAGAATTGGAGGATAAAAGAATAGAGTGTTTGCTTTGTCTGAATCAGTTTGGACTCCTGAGGCCAGGGATCAATCAGCTGGCAAACCCCTCCATCCACAACTGACTCGGAACCTAACAATTCTTGCTTTCCTTGTACCAGAGATGATTTACAGAAAGCATGTGCTACAGAAAGGACTAGTGGTTTTTTAATTCATATGGGAAGTACTTTCTCTTAGGACAAGTACTATTCTTTTTGGTTTGGTTTGGTTTGGTTTTTGGTTTTTCGAGACAGGGTTTGTCTGTAGCTTTGTTGCCTATCATGGAACTAGCTCTTGTAGACCATGCTGGCCTCAAACTTAGAGTCGTGTCGTCCCC